ATATATATATATATATATATATATATATATAAATACTCAAAAAACTGAATACATATATCTAAAGATTTTTAGATGCCTAATAACACATTGTCACAGCAATTGGAATTAAGTAAAACAAATTGAAAATGGAAAGAATAAAAATTAATTAAATTAAATGGTAAAGAATTACAGTCTTTTTCAGTCTTGCAATAAGTGGTAGCGACAAAGCAGCTACGATAGCCATAAATGAATTGAAATTGCCAACATTGATGCATTCTTTAGCAACATCAATGAAGTATTCAATAGTATGCACCCGGCACTGCCTTTTACTACATCGTAGTATTTCCGTAGCCGTAAGATAGGTCAATCGGTTTGACCAATCAATATAGTATCTTATGTTATTCGTACGATTGCCATATCTCTAAATAAGAAATCATTTTTTAAATTAAAAAAATCGTTTGTAATAGCACTTCAAACATTCCGGATCGTTTATAATAGCACTTCAAACATTCCGGAAAGTTGTCTTTTCCATTTTGATCCATTCCATATTTCATAGAATTTTTATGAATAAAAACAAACTTTTCTAGCGTCATCATCCATTGAAGCGTAAACAATTTCATCTGGACCAATCATATTTAGTCGCTCCTGAAAATCGCTTCGATGCGTAGTAGCATTACGTAGAAAAATTGTAATTTGTTAAATCGGTTTTAAATTTTTTATAGAAAACGAAAAAAAAAATGAAATAAGAAGCAAATGCAAAGCTTATTAACCAATTCAATAAGCGTCATTTGTCGCGCCAAAGTTGTTGGATTTGGACAAATTTCCACTAATCCTTTCTGTAATTACTATAAAAAAGACTGTGAAATAGTATTTTATGGTGAACCGTATTTAAATTCTTAAAAATATTATTTCAAACTGATGAGTCAAAACAAACATAGTTAGTATCTTCAGTATTCAGGACCTGACCCATACTCGATGAAATATTTGTCAAAGCTCGTCCGAATCTTTCTGCTCGATCAAGCTAAAATGCATAATATTACATACAAATTGGACATACTTCATTTAAATCTGTACGTGTAACTCTTAAAAATTTTGTTCACATGAAAACGTCAGATTATATCACCTACTCCAATCTTCAAGCATTAAAAGAGTAAACGTTGAAATTAACTTCCCGTGTGATGAAGTTGTTTGAGCAATCTGTCCGTATGTAATTTACAATGTTCATCGGTGGAGCATAAACTAAGCAGCTCAACCAAACGTTGCTGCATTTGTTCATCACGGAAATCATACGGAATACTTTGAGTCCATTCAAGACACAATTTATAGATTCCACGGAAATTACGTGTTCGTCCTTCCTTTGTGAAATTTGCATTAGTTGCATTCTGTTTGAAAACACATTGCTGTAATAGAAAATTTAACCTTAATTTTCGAAATTTCCTTCATTTATGAAAGAAGTTACATAGCCTTTGAATATTGAAATTTTAGAAAAATAAAAGAAAACCAAACAAAGTAGGAACCTGTAGGATTTTTTGCAATAAATCTGGCGGTGATATAAAAATACGAATATTAAGTAGAGCAGCAAAAATATACGATTGTTCGGGTGAGTAACTATGACTGGGAATAAGTAGTTCAATTAGTGAATCCAAAGTAACACTCATCAATGAACCCTCCTTGTCAAACACTTTGTCCTATAATATATACCGCTATGATTAATTGAAATGGTTAAATAATTTAATACGGATTAAGTTGAATTTTTAAATTGTTGGCATTATATGCCACTTATTGTCACTTATTGTAAAACACTATCTTTGTGTAAATTTCTCTAAAATTATATTGTATTATTAAAATATGTCACAGATGGTCACCTCTCTCTAATGCTTTTGCCTTTTCCACTTGTCTATTTCATACTAACCGTACAAATTTTATTTATACTTAGGCATGAGTAAATTAGGCAAGAATCAATTACTTCTAAAATACTTTGTTACTTTCCTATCTTATCTTATCTTTCTTTTCTTCCACAAAGTTCAATATTCTTATCGCAAAATTTTAAATTCCTCCCTCAGAACTTTTAATATCGTATTTTCTGCAGTGTTTGAGTCTTTTACCTATTATTAAAACTTATTAACTAGAGAAAGAAAATTGAACGCTTTTTCAAAATAGTCCAAAAAAAACGACAAAATAACAAAGTGTGGAATAATTCCTTGGAACGAACATGTTCCTCAAAGATTGGATACGACGTTGATGGATTTCCTGTCAATGGATCTTGCTTGGACATTGGTTTTTGCTTGTTGATTTTTCCTTGATCATCTTCCTTTCTTTTCCTGTTCCCATTAGGTAAATCATTTGATGCCATCGATATTAACATACTTTTGCCTTCTTAATTAATTCTTAATTTATTTTTATCCGAAAATAATGAATGATACAAGATAATTACACCATTTAAAGAGTAAAAAATTGTTTTTATGAATCCTTTATATGCAACTCCGTCAACGTTGGCCAACATTCCAAATTTTATCATTTTTCCTGATAATATCATTAAAATGTCATTCATGATAACCTTACTAGACTAATTATTCTACCCCATTCAAAGGATACTGATAAGACAATAATAAATACTGCTAATTGTAAGCATTTAAATTTGTCACTATAAAACATCTATCTAGATTAGCTAACTTTTATTTTCCATTCATCGACTTTAAGAGGATGTGAAAAAAATGAAAGAAATGAAGGTATTCCTTTACATTTTAGATTATTGGAGAGTTTAGTATGAAGCAGCAATTAAAATTATTCAATCCAACTTCCGTATGTTTTCATATTTTTTAAATAAGAAATTTTGGAAAATGACAAAAATAATTTCTTATCACTATTATATCATTGTTTATACAACATATATATCACCATCAGATTTCATTGTAACTCGTCGTGATTGGAAGAACTATTCATTTATCAGCTATCAATAATTTATAATAAACTTGAAATTGTGATATCTTCCAACTATATGAAACAAAAGCAATAAATAAATTGCAAATAATGATAAAAAGAATATAATTAGTGAATAAATAATCCATCCATTAATCTCTGATGCATTGATATATCTCTCCCATTGCAAGTCAAAAGTACCATTAATGTTAGCAAAATTCATCAAACCACTTATCCCACCGCCATATTGCCGATGAATTCATGTAAAATTGAAGATGTTGCAAACGATAAAAATTCGGCGATATCGGGGGAAAAAAAAGAATTCGAAATCGTAGGAAAAGATGCAAGAAAAAAGAGAGAATTCCCAGGATCTGCAAATGTTACGATAATTTTTAATCGTCTGTTTGAAACAATCATTGCATCTACGCCGGCTAATATTCCACAGGTACAAACTTACAAAGTAAAACTGGATTAATGAAGTTTGTTGACAGTCTATCCTAGATCAGTGAAGTTGCTAGTAGTCTATCCGAGATCAGGAAAATTTGTCAGCAAGTGAGAATCATGGAAAATGCAACATAGTACCACTGATGGAACATTCTTTGCTTTCTCTCGAGAAGAAATGGGGTAAATTTCACATTACTTTTGTGTAGCAGTTAATAAATAAATAGCGTAATATTGGATAATTTGACTTTAACATCCTAACAAACATCTCTTCTAACAACTGATAATTATAAATGATTAATTCATCAATCAATTATTACTTCAACGATATTTTACTTAAATTAATGAATTGACAAATTACATGACTAAAACAAAAGGATGTTTAATCAATTCGTCATAACGTTATAAAATTAGCCACCGAATATTATGGTAAAAATGAAAATTGATAGTTTGAAATCATCATATGTATAAAAGAAAATTTTCATTTCATGCAAATTCAAGAAAAGTTAAAAACTTGATTTAATGAAACGTAAGAAATTTTAAATATAAAACTTAAATAACATATTGTGGGGGAGGGGAAGGGGAAAAAAAGTAATTAAAAGAAGCCATTGAATAACACGGTATTCAATCTCGCCCATTATTTACTTTCAACAGGTGTATCTTCTTTTGCGATCTTTAAAAATGGACAAACTATTTGAATAGTTCTAAAAATACCGAGCATATTTTATTTGATGAAGCAAAGTAAAGCTTCACCTTGGAATTCACCAAATAAAAATTCAAACAATAGTGAAAAAAAAAATTTTTTTTTGTTCTTGTATTTTGCTTTTGCAAATGGATGGAGCGGTTGATAGGAAAGAAATATAAATTAATGAAAAAAAGAAATAAAAACCGTAATAAATCAAACGGTAAAGTTTTATATAACGGCAACATTGGGAATGAATGGAAATTCTTGAAAATTAATTTTAATTTTACAAAGGAATTCTTAATTAATCATTAATGTTTAATTGAAAAATTGTTTCAATTAATCTCAGAATCCTTCATTTTTGGCTTTATTGTTATTGTTGTTGTTGTCTATTAATTGTTAATTTTGAAGAGGAATAAAAATTGCCGCTTATTGATAACAGGTATAATTATCAGGATAGGAGAAGAGATAATTTTAATAGAATCTTATATTTTTTGGCCATATAAAGAAAAAAAAAAGGAAATTAGGTCGAGCGTACATATTCTTCGTTCAATGTATCTTCATTTGCTTGTCATACATCAATTACCAGTTTCATTTCTCTCTAAAATATCACATATTTTCATGTTTTCACCTTTATATCATTCGTTTACCTTTCCTTCTTTCTCTCTCTCCCTCTCTCTCTCTCTCTCTCCCTTTCTTTCTCTCCCCTCCTACTCTTTCTCATTTCCTGTTCATTATTTTATTAAAGGACACATTAAGCTATTATCGCATTTATCTACTTGTTGATTTTGGGATAATTCGTCAGGAACCATCAAGAACCAGTAATATTTGCCATTACACTATCAAACTATTAGAAATTCTAACCCTTTTCCATCTCTTTTTATTATCTGTTTTTACTGCTATAAATGACGGTATTTTTCAAATATGCAACTAACTTAGTTATTCTCTAGGAATATTTAAATTACATAAATGAAGAGCATAGTGTTCTTTTTTAACCAGAAAAAAAACAAATCCTTTATATTTGCATGTTTTTACATATTTCACTTAATGATTTTTGGACTCAAAAAGAACTGATCAAAGATTGAATTACAAACGATAAACATTATGTGAGCATTTTTAATTTCAATAAATATATGTAAAGCTTTTAAGAATAGAGCCAAAAAAAAGCCTGAAAGAAAAAATTAAAACTGAAAATGGTGCATTGGAAGCATAATCAATGCAAAAATGGTCCACATAGTGCTCTTTTCGCTCGGAAAGAAGAAGGATGTGAAACATATTCAAATGATACTGAAAGATGAGACATCAATGCTATATTCAATTTATCACATGGCAGCTAAATCTTGGCATGATAAGTTGTTTGATAGGCTTTATGTTGTTTAGGCTAAGCTAACTTTCAAAAATGCTCGCCACTTTTCAAATACATCCAAATTTGCCAACTTATTAACATTTCAACGAATCAATCAATATTTAATTCATTATCATTGTATTTGTAATTTACAACTAAGTCAGATTCCTCTTCTTTTTTTCTTTGCCGATAGTTCTATCTTGGGAAATAAATAGTAATTTTTGTTAAGTGTTAATTTGAAGAAAATGGGAAAATTTCCACTGCCTAACAAGGCGAGACAATTTAAACGGAATGATTTGACAGTAATTTTTACAAATTTCTTTTGCATGACCGACGATGGGACATGTCTGTTTACAGTTTACGTCATCAAACCGTTCGCTATATGAAACGGTCTTATTGATCTTGGCTATTTGGTCAGTTATTAGTATGAGGTTAGTAGGAAAAGTTGTTTTGAAATAAAAGGATGTTTTTTTTTTTGATGGAATCCATGAAGGATTTTTGGGGATAAAAACATGTGATTTATAAGAAATTTAATCACATAATATTACCTTAATTTAATGGTTGTTATTTATTCATCTAATTGGATTTATATAAAAGTTAATTTAATTGGAGGAAAAAGAGAAAGAAAAAGAAAGATAACAATCAGTGAGAATTGAGAATTAGAAAAGAAAAAATTGAAACACAAAGTTAGTAATTTGGCGGGAGAGACGAAGTTTCACTCTCATCACCAAACACAAAATTAATTAATGATTGTGAATGATCTGGCTAATCCATTTGAATTATTTGAAATGATGACTGGAAATTTCAAAAAACTAAATTTTAAAAAGTAAGCACAACACAGTTTATTGAAGATGAAACGGACATATCACTTATTAGTTAATTAGTGTGATTGGATTGAGAGACGGACTGTTATTGTAGGCAAGAATGGAATGAATCTAACCAACTAGATTAAGTGTCGTCGAGTCAAAAGATTTTGCAAAAGTTTTATAAGTTGATTTTGTCACAGAACAAAATTGTCGGAAAACCAAGAGAATTATAATACTTCAAAAAATATCGATTTCGTGAATTTTATAAAAGTCAACCATGCTGTTGTTTATGCCTTGTCCTAACACTGTAAAGGTCAGGTAATACCGTTGCACAGTATTGTAACAATATTATACTCTTTTTGATCTAATTAGCCCTCTGCGTATACGTGCCATCATTTGTTACTTTGACAATCTTATGCGCTTTTATTAAAATGTTGTAAAAGTTATACACACCCTTGTCTAAAGGTTGCAAAGGTCACACATCCAATATAAAAGGTCTACCAGGGACACGAAGAGACACTATTTTAAAAAAAATTATCAGTCCTTTTACTTACGTTACGAATCAATTAACTCCTCAACTAGCAGTTGTACAACAAATCTCTTAAACTATATCTATATGAATATCAAAATGCAGATAAGTAATCGATACTGATTGGTTATTCGCCAATATCTTTTCATTACTTTTATTAAAGAATAAATATTCAAAAGCCTTTTATAAGCCTTTCGAATAATCAGTCGTTGACAAACCTTCGATACAATACAACAAAGATCATCTTTTATGAACAATTAACGGTAATGTCAATATTTGTTTTCTCATAAAAAAGGCGAAAAATTCTCAGGAAATGAACTAGTACATTTGGATATGAGAAGTTCATTAATGTATATCCATCCATTCGTTTAGATATGTATATTTCCGGAATTAGACAATAATCAAGTAGAATAGGAGATGAAAATCCGGAATTAAACAATAATCAGGTAGAATAGGAGATGAAAAGACGAGCGAAAGAAAAGAATTGGGAAAAATATTGTGTGATTGAAATTTAAACTTTGTCCTAGATAGGAGATAGTTAAACAGTTCGTTCGTTTAGAAGGGATGAAGCAATAAAAAAAAAAAAGGAGAAGGAAAGGAAGGCTTGTATAAACAGACCGATATGCGTCAAGGCCGTTCCATCGTTCATTTCAATCAAACAAAATGAGCCGATAACCTATTTCTTCCATACTCTCTGATCTGTGCCTAAATAAACGATAGTGATATTTTGTGGCGCATATGCCGATACACACCCATCAAAATTTTTGATAAACAGCTCTCAACAAAATGTATCAAATCATTATAGCTTTTTAAATGGGATGAATCATGGATGATATGTTTATCGTACAGGTAAGTAGATTGTTTTATTCATCTTCAGATTAATAATACCTATGTTATTGCACTGTATCATAAATGAGTTGATAAGTTTATTCAGAGAATGTTGAAAATTTTTTTTTTGTAAATTATCATTCATTAATATTATTTTCAATTCTTCACTATAACTTAATTTTGATCGTAAAAGTGAATTTTCTGCACTATCTAATATATCTATAAAGCAGTCTTTCATAATTGTTCTAAATTAATCGTTATTGAAAACGTGAATTTGATCGCTTCGGTAACGATATGAAAAATTATCACTTTATTAAAGTATAGTGAAATGGTAATTTAACAATTATTTGCAAATTAATTTTAATTGTATTATTAGTATTGGTGCATTTCAACGGTTATATCCTTCTTGGGGAATTCTTCTATTGATATTTTGATCGTTCCAGATCTTATCATAAAAGATTAATCATAATTAATGTTAATTTCTTCTTTTCCATTGATAACAATGTGCTTTTCTTCTTATGGAATTGATTTGAATTTTAAGCTAAATTACGAACAGAATTAATTGTTCGAGCTTATTAATCATTTCAATAATTCAAACACTAATTATTCGCTTTCTGTTACTTTGATTCCTTGTTCTTGATTTGGGTGCAATCCTTAATTGACTGAGTGACCGATGAAGGTTAATCTCTCGAATAGTCCAATCAAATTATTTGATGAACATAGGACTTGAAATATAAAGTATTTACTGAGAAAATAGAGATATGAAAATTTTAAAAACGACAAAGAGAAATAGGACGACAATTTTTTGATCCACTATCTTCCATGATAAATGATGATTGACAATTGAAATTTAATGGAGTGGAAAAGCTTGGCTCATTAATCGCATCTTAAATATAATCCTCACAATTTTATCCTACTTAAAACAAATAAATTCCAAACAGTAATCCAAATAATTGAAAACCTTCGTATGGATGAATCAAAAGCCTATATGTGGGATAATCAATAATAGCACTATCGATAAATTCATCAGACTGTATGATGTAACAAATTTGAGGGTCAATATCTATTCAGTCATTCTTTGTCCTGATGGATACTTTTCCCAAAGGAGAGAATTTTCACAGTAATATTCATTCTGTCCGTCCCTTATTCGTGTCTTTCTGAATTGTTTACGGAGCAGACGAAAAGTTATCTGTTTACATCAAAATAGAATCCTTTCAATTTCACTGAAAAGTATTTTTTTTTGACAACTTTGTTTTCTTGCTGTGATATTAGAATTGCATAAAAACAAAAAATTTAACCACAAGAATATCACAACACATCATTTTTTCTATTATAAAAGCTATCTATTTTTAGTAAACTGATAACCTATGACCCCAAGTAAGTTGAATAAAGTGAAAAAATGAACCAAAGGAAATGAAGGGTTTCATTTTTCAATTAAAATGTGAAATTCACATCATGCATATAAGTTATGTAATGGTCAAAAGATTCATTCAATGTAAACATGATGCATTTCATTGGTTTGTTTTTATCAGAATGCAATCAACAAATATCACTTTATCCTGAAAGAACGATTCATCTGATAGCACAATGCTGATAATTCATACTTCACTGGTTGGTTTAACTTATCTGTTTCGTATCGTATGATAATAATGTAATTCGAGTTGTGATGTTAGTTTAAAGATTAACTTTTCATATTTCGTTCACCGCTTCTGAATTCTTTCTCAGTGCAACTTCTGATCCGAAACTTACAAACACTGCTAAAACATAAAATAGAAAAAATAAAAAAAAAATACCCGCCATTTAATAACCAAATCAAGAACCTGAGATTCTAATATTTGAAATCTTCCATCCTTGATCTTTCATTTTTGATCTTATTCTTGACAAAAATATATTTTCACATGGAATTCATTTTTTATTGTGTCACTTCAGTTCTTTTACAGCTTTTTTTTTTTGCACTTTATTGTCATTCTAAAAGTCAGCTGCTAAAAAAGTACATTTTTAGGAACATATCCAAGAAAAAAAAAGGAATTCGAGAAGTAAAATTGAATAAATATCAAAGGATAATTTTATTTCACTTTTCCATGGAAGCACTTTTCAAATAATTGTTTGTTAAATGGTAATTTTGGATTTGAAAGTTTCTTAACGAATGAATTGCCTTTTCACTTTACTTAACTATGCCACTAATATCAATTAATATCCTAGAAATTAAACGATTTAGGGAACCTTTTTTTTCTTCATATTTTCATTTCAGGAAACTCTCACATTTTATAAGAATAATTTAATCATAAACACGAATTCAAAAGTAATTTTTGTTTTTTTTTCTTTTTATTAACAAATCTTATCTACTTTTCTTAATTTTTCATTTGTTTAGTTTGTGATAACAATTAAGTATTTCATTCTTCATATCTGAAGAAGTGTCTACA